TATAGTTGAAAAAGTAGAAGCTGTGACTGGTAGTGACGTACTGTATAGGGTGGCTTTAGATTTTAACAATTGAATGGTTTGCCTCCAAATGTCATCTGTGGTTTTGTAAGTGACTCATTGAGCCCACGGCATTGTACACAAATTCCATTTATTTTCTTTTTACCACAATAGCATTTTTATGACATATGTTTATCTTTACTGCAATACTTAGGGGGAAATGCCAGTCTGATAAATACCCAGCTGACATTTCATATAGATACATTGAGGGCATTTTATTCAATAAAGTATGGATTGTAATAACTTTTAATTTTAAACCTTTGATAGGACTTGATTTGGTAAGAACATGGACTTTCTGAAGTGGCAACTGGTTTTTGAAATGTTGCATGTTCTTTCTTCCAGCTAGATACTAAGTGACTGAGTATATTGTTAACTGGTTTTCAAGAATCATCCAACCTTAAATAAGCATTATTATGGTTCTTAGGAGACAGGTAATGTGACCAGTAATTGTCATAGGCTTATTGCAGGTATTTTGGCTTTTGCTATCTTAATGTGTGAAAAATTGTTAATGCCACTATTGTTATTATATTTCAGATGAGTATAACTGAAAACTGGCTCAGTTTGGCTAATTCAAAGTTATGAATAGTCCTGGTATTTGTCACATGGTCAACTGGTTAAAGAGCAAAATTATTTTAGTGTTGTGTAGCAGGTATGACAAGCCAGTTTTAAGGGCAAACTGAAGGCTTTTACACTTGAAATCTTTCAGTTACTTCAGTATTTTACTGGAGTTCAAATTAATTAAATGTAGCCCTGAATTTTGTTCCCCCCTTTGGACATTTTTATCAGTCACATTTCAATCTTCAGACTTGCCTTCACCTCCTAGCAAACAGGTAAATGTTCATTTTGGAGGGTTGTTGTTCCATCTACTGATTCCTTTATCTAATCAAAAACTGTTCTCATCTGCTTTGTTGACTGACGTTAACATTAACGTTGACTGATATATTTCAAAACAGCTGGCTCAAATATTTTTCTTAATTAAATTACAGCATTTGCAGACTTTGGTTGATGTAACTCTATGTTCCATAATTGTGTTATTTCTCTCCTTCATTTTACATCAGCATTTGTCAATCTATAGATGCAGATATTTTGACCTTGACCCTTTGTTCAGTTTACATCATGTGTAAGTACGGTACAGTTTACTTGTTAACTGCTTAAACAGTTTGAGCCAGTATTCCTGTCAATTTTTAAAATGTCATTTTTGTATCTATAATTACCAATCCATATGCTAGATACCTGACCTTCATAGAAATAATTATCCTGATACATTTGCGGGACTGCTAGCAAGCAATTTAGTTTTGCAGTTTAATGTTAGTGGCATTTCAGGGAGAAATTTTCACTTGTCACTAAATTTTCACTTGAACTCCTAAACCGCTGTTTACTACAGCCTAAGACAAGGCATGCACTGACCATAAGATTGAATCTATGGTTAGTTTTATATTAGCTTATGAAATAATTTGCATGTAATGTCACTGATGAAGCAGAACAGTGTTTTCACTCTTCTTTTTGAGATGAAATTGGCTTGTGTAGAGTAGAGCTACCTACTAGGTAGTGGTGGTGTTCTACTTTCCAAGCACAAGATCTGTACTCTCATCCCATCTCACAATTAGAATTCATTCTTAGATCTTGTATTTTTAAAATTACTTTACTTGAGTACTTTTCCAATCATGGTTACAAAATCAGGTCAAGACAAGCTGAAATAATTCTACAGCACAATGTTTTCTCTCCCACATGGTTAACGTACCTAATAATCATCGGGTAATTTATTAGTTACTTCTGTAAGAAACTCCTGTAAGAAACACCATTGAGTGTGTCAGTGTTCTGCATCAAAGTGAATAGACTACAGTTGTGTGATCATTTTGTGGTCTTTCTTAACCAGCAAAACATGCTGCTTAAGCACAGTGAATAAAAATCACCATGTGATATTGAGGGGAAATGGAAAAATAAATGACCATAATTTGTTTGAGTCAGGGGAAGGAACTTTTGTAAAAGATAATGGCTCTAAAATCACACAATGGATAGATACCTTAGGGTTCAGTTGGGAGTTTTACATTTTAATCATAGTGGAGGGTTGGTCCTACCAAAATTATTCTTTTCTGGGAAATACGGCACACATTAAAGGAATATTCAAGCTGAAAATTTCATTATATGTAGTCCAATTCCATGTGTTCATTTATTTTAAAGGTGAAGTTTGCATTGTGATACTGGGAGAACTGGAAAATATTTTTAATCTTCATTATCTCATCCTGTTTTCATACTTTTGTTACTGTAAATAATTTAGATACATGATACTGTATTTATAGTTGCGGTATTATGACAATTAAAGCCCTGATAAAGAGAATATTACAAAAATAAATAAGCAACCTTTGTCATATTATTATATACAACTGACTCTTTTGCAGAATGCCTGGTCAAATACAACACTGCATTTTTCAAAGTTAAAATACTTATTCACACTTTTGCATGTTTTTAGAAACAGTTGACTCCTTATGACACATTGGGAGCTGCATATTGATAGAAAAGGGGACAGAAAACTTTACATAAAGTCATTTGAGAATAACTTGCTCCCACAGATTTTAATCACCTGGGAAACAGAGCTATAAAACTGGGACAGAACAATAACTGTCCTTGTTAATTAGAAAGACATATGAAGATTCTTATATGTTATTCTCATAGTGTATATCCTTGCCTAGCAAGAATCCATACAATTTTTTAGCAAATACGGTTCTCAGGAAAACTGCAGCTATACCATAGCTCACCAAAAGACAATATTAACTCATGAGGAATAAGCAAAAATAACCTCCGTGGAAAAAGAAATATAGTATGAAGATGACAAGCTATGAGATTAATTGTGAACTACTTAATGCTCAAAATCAAAATAGTGGGTTTTCTTCATACATGCAGGAGTGGCTTGTGGTACAATAATGATATTAGAAGATGAGGCGGACAAATTCACGCTTTAAAGTCTTTAGTTCATGCAGCACTATGACACATCCTTTTTGTGAGAATAAGAAATTACATGTGGAACCACAAGTTACAATCCAGCATAGCAAATGCTCTCATAATAGTGCTTGGATTTGCTCACTTACAGCCAGAAACCCCGCAGCTGCAGCTCTGTGGCTATTTTCAAGAAGGGACTGGAACCAATTAGGCTAAACCTTCTGCTGAGGATGATGCCTTTCTCCATCAGTCATCTCTGCCATAAGCTGTACTGCTGTTATACATTTGCTTCTACTAAGCCAATAGCAGAAGTCTCATTGATTAAAGTGGATGTTCGATAAAAATTACTGGTAGTTCATATTTTGTTTGGTCCTAAGGGCAGGGAGCATGCATCTGTACGCATCTGATTCTGGGACATGGAAAGGTCTGTGTACCTCCTAAGCATCCTAATAACTTGGAATTGAATTATTACTCATTATTAAAAATGGTTTGATATTATCAATCCCTTCATCCTTCTAAGTTCTGTTCATTGTAAGTGTCTTACAATTACAATGTAAGTTGATGTTTGCTGCTGATAGCAGTTCTCGCTCTGTACTTTGTGCCTGGTACTTAGTGATTTATTTTAGACATGTAAGTAGTCTGAGAAGTTATTGAAATCTGTGACCTTATTTACCTTATCTTCTGTACAGTACTATTGAACTAATTAGCAGCATTGAGACTTAAGCCAACAGGGCCTGATTTTTAAGCTATTTTAAGGCTTTGCACCAGGTTGACAGCACAAAATTACATTTACATTTACTTTCACTGAAGACCCTCAATCAGGAAGAGACATAGTAATTTGTTTTCAGCTGAAACATAAATTAGGAGGTCTGGGGTTTAGTGCCTTTACTGAGATGGAGTTTTACAGAGTTTTTTGGACATCTTATTTGCCGGTGAGAAAAAAAGCTCACACAGGAAGTCTGGATAGATAAAACAGTTTAAAAATCGGCCAAGACAATAGTTTTATTAATTAGTCAAAAGTATCTTAAATAAAATTTACTGTGTTGTAGTTAAAAAGAGATTTTCATTCAAATAGAGTTCAACACAGATTATGTGCAGTAATATGCACTTTCATTCAAGACTACAGTTAGACTCACACATACTAAGGCATTTTTTAAGAGAAGTCTCACCTTTGACTTTATATAGATAGATACAGAGGTAGCTAAAAAGTGAGACATATTTCTGTATCACTCTCTCTCTACCAGGACATATATGTATTTTATACAGAGACAAATTTTAAAGACATCATAACCTGATTTCTACTTGTGCAGACAACATTTTGCACATAAAAAATTTTCTATGTATGTTTTTAAATAATATCAGAATCTTGTATAAATGAATTTTTCATGGAGTAGTCTTTACGGATATGTGGGTAAGAGAGCACAAATATGTGTGTTCTCAGTACACAAACCTTGTATTATTATTAACAATATTCTCCTATTTACAGCTATACTCTCATGTGCTTCCTTTGCCCCAAGAGTGTATTTTTTTTTCTGTAACACATATGTACTAATTGATTATAACCTGCAAGTGTCATTGTAAAACAGCAGGTTTAGAGACAGAGTAGTACGTGCAATATGGAAGTCACCTGATAATTCAACCAATATTTTTCAGTGATTAAAAAAAGTAAGATAAACATATTCTCATGTTTTTTATTTCCCTAACTCTGCATTTCTCAGTTTGATTTCATTGTATGAGCTTTAAAAATATTTGTGAGAGTTTTCCCAATACAGTAGAGGGTTTTGGAATGCAACAAAGAGTGGAGCATCAAATACCTTTTTTTATATATATATATTTCGCCCAATTTTGAAATCTGCAGACACTGCTGGACATTCTCAATGTTGTGGAAGGGAAAATCCGGGTGTGAGATGCTTTATCTCATGGATCAAGAAAACATTAGCTTTTACTACTACAGTACCTAGAAAAGAGAATTAACTGTCTTTAATACTATTCTGTTTATTTTACAGTTTAACAATAATGCTCAGAACGTCAGTTGCTTTAATCACCTTGTCCAAGCTAACGTGAGGAACAAGAAGAAGCTGAAAGAAGCTGTCTATAAAATCTCTGCTAAAGGAATTACAGATTACAAGAAAGGCTTTAGCTATGCTTTTGAACAGCTGCTAAATGTAAGTATGAAAGTCATCTCTCTGCTTTAAAGTGAAGAAGGAGAACTTGAACGTTCAGATGGCCACTGCATGCTCTTCCATCATGTAACTGAGTGATAACCAGTACAATACCTTATTTAGCACGTAAACTTATCCCAACAATAAATTTTTTTCTTTGCAGATCCCCCAGCAGATTGCTAAGATTTGGGAATAAATTTGGTTTTCAATGTGCTGTACTGTTTTTACCTCATTCATTCAGCTAGTTTTTCATTTAACATGTGATTCTCAGTTGGCACATAGCTGTGGTAGTGGTTGATTTCCAGGTAATTTTAAAATTGAAGGCTACAGAATATTACAAAGTTGGTTGTTTATTATTTCAGTTTTACCACAGTATCTCCTAGCAAAGTTTAGTTAACCTGCGATTTTATATTTATTACATGTAATAAATAGTTGATCATGGCTTGAGCAGGACAGAGGGGAGCAAATAACTTAGTTAACAGAGGAATATTAGGCACCTGAGAGTATTCTAGTTCCTTTTTCCTCATGCATAAAATCGTTTCCTCAAAAATTAAATGCATTGTCTCCATGTTTTAATTACATCGTACTTTCTAGTTTGCACCCAAGCACTAGCTTTCTAAGTAGTAATGTTTCCCATTTACCACAAATGTTAGGGTTTTATTAGTCATTTTTTTAAATAGTTTGTGTAGTTGTTTAAAAAAAAATATTTTACATTTCACCTTCATAAAAATTGCATATTGGATCATCACCTTAGTGTAAATAAAGCTATACCAATTTACAGACGTTAAGGAACTAGCTTAATAAATATTAAGTGTATTTTTTTTTTTTTAATATATCAGTTATGTCTCTCAGTGTACAAATGTTTAATTTTTTCCCCTAATCTGCCAGATTCTGGACTTCAGGGTGCTTCCCTGCCATTGCATATGCAGCTTAGGGCTAGAGCTGGTTGAAAAATTCCGAACCTTGTTAAATTTTGATGGAGAAAAAGAAAATACAATGTTTTCAAGGGTATTTTCTCAGCAGATCACTATTTAGATGAGCAGAGGGGTTTGGTGGGGAAATGACTGTGTGCCCTCTGCTGATGGTTATATAAAACTGCAAACAGGATTTTAAAAGCTGACGGACTTTTTCAGACCAGGCAGAACAGCATTTCCCCTTTTTCTTCATTCATCTCATTCAAAGGCAACCAGCAAGACACAAGAAATTTTGCCAAACACAGCTTGTCCTCATAACATTTATATTTGATTAACGTTATGTATTATATTTGGTGCAGCGCCAGATACGTGCTTTGTGTGCAGGCAGTATTAAGAAGTCCTGAACACAGGGGAAGCCTCAAAGTGGACTTGTTTGTAGGAGTAAAAAATTGCTTAAAAAAATAATTGATCAGTCTTATAGTGAGACTGTCTCTCTCGTAACTGGAGTCAGAGGTCTGATTAGCCTCACATAATCTCTGCAAGGCTCTAAATTATGGTTGGACACTGTGGATGTGTATATCAAGGGAAATTAAGAGATTGCAGTTATAGGTTATAGAAATACAGTCATCCTCTCCAGATATTGGCAAATCCATTTGGCAGGAAGAGTCAAGGGCTGGTGATGGAGTTAGTGCGAGACTCTGGTGACAAGACAATATAATAGGATGATATAATACAGGCTTAAACAAATAATTAAAAAATACGCTTAGGGATAGCTTCCAGTTGTATGTTTACGATTTCAAACAGTCAAATTGCTTTAAGATCCATGAAAAATGAATAGTTTTTAACAGCTCAAATTCTCGTAATAATTTTGTGGGTACTATTTCTGGATGACAGTTATTTCTAACGATTTTTTTGAATACCAAAATAATATTTTACTTGTGCCATGAAAAACTTATTGTCTGATATGTTGCTAGATGGAAATAGACACTTCAGTTTTTTTCAACATACTAATTCAAGTGAGTATCAATAATCTGGATTCCATCATGTTTATGCAGTATTTTTCCATTATTTATTGTTATATTAGCTTTCTGTTTCTTTGAAAATAATAATACTTCAGCTCCAGGAAGTCAGGAGGGTTTTTTCCCCATACCACAACAACTATGATTTGTCATAAAAATTATCTTGAAATAATCTCTTCTTGATTCAAGTAGTTGATTTTTGCCTTGGTTTACTGTTTCCTTCTTCAGTGGCATGAAACTCATAATGAAAAATGCATTCCTAAAGTCATGAGGAATAATCCTGACCTGCCATTTAATGAGTTAATTTTAAGGATGTGAAACTTGTATAAAACAAAAGCAATTTTAGGCACAGCATAAAATGGATCATGTCTTGCTTGCTTTTTTGAAAGAAGAAAAAGAAAAGCCTTTATCAAGTGCAGGAGAGAGCTAAAAATGAATATGTAGACTCAGCTCCAACTTGCATTCTTCTGTGGTTTAAGCTAAGAAGCTGTTTTTTGTCCTGGGGAAGCTGCTGTATAGGCAACACATTCCTCTTCAGCTGTGGTCTGTGATGGGAGGGCAGAGCCATCCATTGGACTGGTGAGGCAAACTGTTCAGAGAAACGATGAAATTACTTCATCAGCGTTACAAAATCACTTATATTCACTCCCTGAGCCAGTATCTCTCCATCTTTGTGCAAATGGGGGGGGAAGACATGTTGTAAAGGCAATTCTGCCTTCCTTTTGATCACTTGTAAGAAACTGATCTGTAAAGTTCATTCATCAGGATGCAAAGTTTTTATGGTGGGAAAATGTCATATGATTTGAGCTTATTCATGTTCAGATTTCCAATATTGTTTGGAGGCTACTAAGACCTTGGAATTTTTTTCCATGACATGACTTCAGTGTCTAAACAGTGTAGTGTAAGTAAATGCCCTTCGGTAAGTACTAGGAGATAAAGAGAAACCACTGCATTTTTCTGATACTGTATTAGCATAAGCTAAGAAAGCTGCTAGAAAAATCCTGGTTTAGTCAGTTAAAACAAAGGTTAGCTCAAGTTCACATTTCCCATAATAGCACTCATTTTAAAATCAAAAGGAAAGTTTTATAATATGATCAGGCCTTGGTCCCCTTCCTTGTCATCTCTGGTTTCCCTGTGATTTTATTTTGGCCTGTATATTAAATCACTGTAAATGTAGGTGAGTTTCTTTATTTATAAAGTATCCAACTCTACTTTTATTACTTTTTTAATATCGAAAAGATTGCAGCCCAAAGCAGTATCTTGTAGGTTATATTTCAAAAGCAAAAAATGGTCATAAATTATTTAATTCCAAATGAAACACAGTGTGCTGATGAGATTGGAGAGAATGTATTGATTTCAAGTGGTTTTTATGTGTTGTTACATGTAGGAAAATCTTTGGACTTGTTTTTTTTTCAAATGATTAAATAAGTAGTTATTCACTGAATATTGAACTATCAATACAAATAATCTCTGAGGAATAATTATTCATCTGTTAATATAGTGATTGCAAACAAATTTTTTGTATTTTAGTTTTCTGGGACCATTGTAGAACCATAGACCTGCAATTTTGAGGATTATTGGCTGATGTTGAGGGCTGGCTTTGGTGTTTCGGTCTCTTTATTACAGAAGAACAAGGAATCAGATCAGAGAGTAGGTTGAAAAGTAATGAAAGGGAGCGGGATCATCTCACCTGACCAGCCAGGTGAAAGTTAGTCACTATCTAGTCACAAAGACTAAAGCAAGGGAGAGCTAGGTACTTTGTAAGGATGACCCTCCTATTTCTTTCCTTGACTGTATAGTAAATTCATACAGCAAAATTCAGGCTTGTGGAAGGGGAAGTTGAATTTATTTTACTGACTCTCTAAGGGTTTTACTCTGTCACATCCAACTACTCAGAAGTAGCAAAATGTGTCTAACTAGGACCATTTGTATGCAACACAGAGGACAAGGAACACTGGCTGTAAAATTAATGAACAATTTGCTTAGACTAGATTCTTAACTTTTAGGGAATAAGGAAAGAAGACGAATGCCAAAGGAGGAGCCTTTGGCTCCTTTCATAAGGAGCCAAAATTCCTATTCATGTCTCTTGTTCCGTCTGTGGAACAATATTTTTATTCCTTTGCACAACACACTGTGTTTTTCTCAGTGGCTTTACTAGTTACTTTGACTGCTGAATTAGGAGTCAGAGGGGCTTCTTCTCAATTCTCTCTATTCCAGGCTTGATCTCCAGAAATAACGGAACATGCTCAGTGCTTCACCTCTGAGTTACAATGTAATTAGAAAAGTAGGTGATGGAGAGATCTTAATACTCTAGGCAGCCATATCTTTGCTGCAATATATTACGTAAACCTGATTCTAAAATACCTTTCTAGGTTAGCTATTCATTTCACTGTATTTAAAAAAAAAAAAAAAGTAATAAAAAACCCCAGGAAAGAATCAAAGAAGTGGAAGATGGAGTTTATTTTAAGGAAATGTGACAAAAATAGCAAATGCAAAACTATTTCTAAGTTTATAAGGTAGAGTTTTATAGATGTACCTATAGGATGCCTAAATTATCAGAGTTTTCATTTAAGTGGTCAGTGAGCTTGATAGTTTCTGTGAATAGGAGTCCAGCAGAAAAAAAAAGAATATTCAGTAATTCATTAGAGGGTCATTGTTCCCAAATTTCCACAAGGACAGTAAGGATAAGAAAAAAAGTAAGGATGAGAAAAGAGAAGAGTAAAAATGTTTAGAGGCCCTCACTGTACAAGTCTCATGCAGAACATCTGTAGAGCATCGCTGTGGGGTTGTTGTGATGGGTACAAGCTAAAGAGCTTTCCTTGTGTTGATGGAGGTGAGAGGAACCACCAGATCCCCATTCCTCTGTGTTGGGTCAGATCTGAAATGAGTCATATTTCAGTCTCATGGAACAGAAAAATGGTTTTGTTTTGGTTTCTTCCCTTCCCTTCCCTTCCCTTCCCTTCCCTTCCCTTCCCTTCCCTTCCCTTCCCTTCATAACACTGGTTTTGTTTTGGTTTCTTTCCTTCCCTTCCCTTCCCTTCCCTTCCCTTCCCTTCCCTTCCCTTCCCTTCCCTTCCCTTTCTTCATTCAGAAAGGTGTATTGGGTGAAATTGTAAAAGACTTTGGAAGTTTTGCCATTACCATGTTAAAGTAGTAAGCATGTTGATATGAAAGCCATCAAATATAACAGTTGTTATTCCTTATAGCCTGAAATTAAAAAAAGCTTCTGTTTGTATCTCCTACAGCACAGTGTCTCTAGAGCTAACTGCAATAAGATTATTATGCTGTTTACGGATGGTGGTGAAGAAAGAGCACAAGAAATTTTCCATAAATATAATGAAGACAAAAAAGTAAGTGATATATGGAAGATTTTACTACATAAAATACAACAGCACAATGAGGAACATTTAAATATGGAAGTGAAAGCATTTTTGGTATCTGTATAAAGTACTTTTTAAAAACGTATTAGTATTGAACCTTAAGGCACTTAAAGCTTTCTCAATCTATAACATTTCTTTGAAGAAACCATAAAATACATTTAATATTTTACACCTTGTGAATCATTGATGTCAAGTGGTACAGAAGTATACCATAAGCCATAAAGAATTAAACTTTTTATTGATATTTTTCTTGTATTAGTGTAATCCTTGCATTATCAAGTGGAAACATAGGTAGTTAAAGGATATGAGATATATCTATATCTCCTCACTGTGAATATTTTCTGTGTGTTTTTATTGTTCATCAGGCAAAGGCAAAACCAGATCTCAAGTTTAGAATCTGAATCTGAATAGATTTGGGCTGGAGCAAACCCACATTTTTTTTTGAGTGAGGCTAATTATACCTTTGAATGTCTTAGCTAGGAGTGGGATGGCTTTCTGTTGATGAAATCTGATCTGTGGTTCAACCAGAATTATGGGCTTGACACAAGAATAACTGGATGAGTGGTGTTGTTCAGATTAGATTGGATTATTAGCTGTGCTGGTTTGGGGTTTAAGTTTTGAATCTAATCAAACTTCTGGTCTGGCTTTTGCATACTTAAAGATGAAAAAATGCGTGACAGTGTGTGTGTGTGTGTCTGTGTGAGTGAAATAAAACAGCTTTGTAAATTTTCTCCTACTACATTTCAGTGCAAATCATTAAATTTAGAAGATTAATCACTTTCTAAATAAAAGTTAAATATGAGCTGGATTCACACTACAACTAAGAATTTACCTTTTCTAGTGCTTGGGGATGTGCCTATACCTGTTTCTTTTTTTGGGGGGGGGAGTTGTTTTGTTTTGTTTTGTTTTCAAAAAAAGCAGCTAGAAGTTAGATCACAATTCACCAAGACACTTTAACAGTTGCCATGGATGCTTATGTATAAAGCAGTGGAAGTATTTCATTAGAAATCCTCATATATTTGAATTAATCCCTTCAAAAGGAGAACTAGAAATGCAAGACACAATTTCCATCTCGACCAGTGATTCACTCGGTGACCTTGGATAATCATTTTGTGACTGCTTTATAATAGTGTTTCACATAGAATGATATGGTGGCGTTTAGTTAATCTTCATGTCTGAGCTGAAAGTGCTTTTTAAACTGACAATTAGAAGGAAGAACTGAAATCATAGCAACTTGTTGTGTGGCACACATGGCTGTATTCTGAAAATATACTCAGAGATTCCTCTTCAAATTTGGACTTGGTAGCTTTTGTTGTGTTACAACAAAAGCCATCAGCTAAAGGAAATATGTGCATAAGGGGGAAGATGTATGATTAATTTCGTATTTAACTTGCCGTGTTAGGAGGAAAGTATAGTAAAATATCCAGTCCAAGCAACAAAACAAATTTGTAGTGCTGAGATTTGTGGTCTTACTCACATCATGTCTGACAATCGATTATTCTGTGAAGTATAATAAATGAAATGTAGGATTTACTAATTTAAAATGGTTATTTTACTGCATCCTTTAATACTGTAAATTTGCACTGCCAAGGGTTGGGTTGGTTTTATATATACTGTTATATATAATACAATACCCTCTCACTTTCTTGTTCCCTCTAGTTTGGGGGTTTTATTGTATACAACAAATGTATAATGGTGATAATGGTCACTGTATGGATTTATGATTATTTAAGTATATTTTCTTATATAATTAAATGCAGTGCAGATGCAATGCAAGGCAAATTTCCTACACTTGATTAAGTTGTATGTATCTACAAGTTCAAATTTTAGTAAGCACTTACATTTTGTTACTTGTCCAATAAAGTACTGAGTTGCTAGATGCCGTCCCTTCTGGTTTTCTCCAAGACGACATTGGAAATACAAGAAATACTAAGAAAGTATTTGCAGGTATAATTTGAAGAACCATTTGCTTTCTCCTTATAGTTTTCAATCAGTAACAATCCTTGTGATGTTGAAGGGAAATGTATGGTTGAAAAACTTCTAATGGGATTGAACCAGTAAATTAATTTTCAGCAATAATAATGAACACCCCCCCGACAACATTTCATAACATTCTAATATTTTTTAAAGTAAGACTAATACAAAATATGCTCGCGGTCATGCTCGCTTTAGTGAGACTACACTTGATTCCAGAATGATGGTGTGAGATCTCTTGTTCCCTCTCTGTGTAATTTAATGTTAATCTTAATCCAGTAGATCATAACATAATTGACAGACACATTCTAACATGAAAAATACACATATACTTTTAATTGTGTAAAGTCAGACACATAGCGTTACCTTCTTAGATTGCATAGTAGGCTGCTTTCATATATTAAATGATGAGATATTTAAAGATAAGTGGATCTAGATTCTGTTGTTTTTATTGCACTTAATTTATAATTTATTTCACAAATAGCCCAAGAAATGTAAGACCAATTTTATAATTATCGTTTGTAGAGAGACTATTCAATGTAAGGTGTTAAAAAGTTTTCCATGTTTTACCATAGTAGCACTTCAGAGTATAAATATGTATCAGCTGATGTCTTTTCTTGCCTGCTCTGCATTTGTTTGAACATTTTTGTTTGTGTTTTGCATACAGTATATAAAAGATGAATCTTTACTGTCTTATATCACAGCCAGTCACTTCCCATCTTAGGTACACTGTGTTGTAAACTTACTTTTTTTTTTTCTCGTACAAACAGAAGACCATTCATTCAAATCTATTAATCCTTGTTTTCATCTTCTTGATGTAAAATTGCTTCAGCTCTAAAAGTATTTTCTTCTTCATGTCAGTTACTTTGTAATTCCTTGGCATGAAAGAAGCTTCAATAAGTTTTGGCCCATCAGATGACATGACTTAGTACACTTGTTTGCAGTGCCCTTAGTGCAACCTTCAAGTTACAAAGTGAAAGAATACAATAAACAATTGGAAACTACTAAAAGAGCAGCCTAGAATCTAGAGGCTGGAAAATTGTCCTGTTAAATTAGGGGGTTTAATCTGTTTGAAATAGCATACAGATATATTTAAAATAATTTTCTGTCTTTCCAAATCATTTACAGTATGAATATGAGGGTTATTATAAAACTTATGTAACACAATTTTGAGGAGGAACATTCCTAATTTTCATCTGTTTGAAGTGGAAAATCACAGTTGTGTTTCACCTTTGCATGCCTTTTTCCCTTTATAAAGCCAGATTTTATTGTCACAGATTGCAACTACATGCTGTGCCTGATATTTAAAAACTGGCATGTTTGCCTTTGTGGTGACATTTGGGGCACTCACATTAAAAGTGTGAAATACAACACACGTGCTAAATTTCAGGAATGGGGGTGGTAAATTTTCATTTTATTTGCACTCGTACTACAGATGGCTTCACTGAAGATAGCAATATAAATTTAATTGAAACGTAGGCCCCAGTAGGTGTTCCCCATCCTGAGAATTTTGAATTCAGGTTGGAAATAGAAAACTAACTACAGCTCTTCAAGGCAGATTGTGCACCCTGAAATGTGTGTTTTGAAGGATTGCTCAACTTATGTGAGGAGGAAAAGACCTTAAACATACCTCATGCACTTTCAGTTGTTTGAAGTTTCCTGGCATGATAGAAGTTTGTGTGGCTCAGATCAATCCATCTGACCCACCCAGGTAGGCGGATCTGACCCCTCATGTAGGAGGAGAACCATAAAGTGGGTCTTACGTCCCATTCCCACAGAATTATCTGTCATGATTAATACAACCTTATTTTATGTAGATTTTTCTGACAATATCATTTGATAAGAAATGGTATACGGAGAAGTTTTCCAACAGTTCCATTAAAAAATATCTGTATGTGGTGGGCACAGAACTGCTACAGTGATAGAGGTCCTATGGGAGAAGGCTCCAGCTTGCTGTAACTCCACTGGGAAGCTTACGACTGGTAGTGACTTCTTCCAAATGGGACACACTCAACATGTCAATAGAATGATAAAATGAAATATCTATGAGAAAGCACTTGCAAGACTTTCTTCTAGAAGAAAAATACCTCCTACTGTCATTACCAAAGGAGGGAACCATTTTCTTTATTGGTTTGAATCTATATTGCGCAACTGCAAGTCAGTAAAACTAAAAAGAAAACTCTGTTAATCTAGGCAGTGGTGTATGACTCATTCTAGACAAGGCTGAAAGTGTTAGTCCTGACTACAAATGACCATTGAAAAAGCCCATGACATTTCCACTTCGGGTAGCCATGAGATTCTCATCAAGTGTCAGACTGAATGAATGTTAGCTTTCTAGAGTTACTCATAGAGCTGAAAATAGAACTTTGAATAGTGCTTAACAGCTGTCAAAGTGTACCCCAACAGTTCTTGCATTTCTGAGTGTGTGATAGACTTGTGACACAGGATATAACATAAAGTAATGAAATTAAGGGTTGAAGCAAGCAAAATGCTGGTTTATATCTGAATGGCATGTAGCATAGTTTAAGAGATAAAATTTAAGCCAGTTTTTAAACTTTCTGGATTGTAGATTGTTCTCTGGCTTTCTTTACATTAGCTTTCTGTGATCCTTAGACAACCAGACGCTAAGATATTTCTCGTTCCTCCTGATAGTCCCCCTGTGCTGTGAATTTTCTTGGAGTGATGGTACAGGAAATCCCATGTAGAAGAAATCTCCAGCTAGCTGGTTAAACTGGCTCCCCGGCTCCTTCTCTAATCACTTCTGTCTTAAGAGTGTGTCATCTTCCAGCTGTTAATTTTAATTTATTGTAGGTACTGTGATATGCACAACTGGTAAAGCTAAAATATTCTGGGTGAAACTTGGGTCAGTACTTATAAATTCCAAAATCCATTTCTTTTTCTTTCAAAGTAAAAGTGGAAACTATGTTATTAGAGTGCTTGCTGAAGAAATATCTTATTCTTAAGGCAAATTATCTATTTTTTACCTCTTTCTTAGC